AGGGGCACTCACCCATGGCCTCTCTGACGCTCAGACTCAAGGCCGCGTATGATCCGAATAAGCATCGATCGGACAGCTCTAGCCTGGGGTGGCTGATCACCTGCAAAAGGCCTTCAGCAATCAGCGATGAGGGAGCCTAGCATTACACTTGACCAGTACATGTATCCTCGCCTCGGTGTCGAAGTGCCTCAGATCAGGCATCTCTTCCGCACCCCCACCTGATCCATCAGGACCATTATACCATCATCGCACTACTACTGCTACTCACCAACACTACCGTCCTTCATACCCATCCCTCGGAAGTATATACGGCTCTGTGTGGCCGACTCCATCTCCTTATGATTCTGGCCTGACCACCCACCCAATTGCCCATCCCACTACCCCTGGTAGACCCACCTCTCGAGCCCACGATGGCCCTAACAGCATCGCGACCAAGCATGCCCGCACCCAGCAGCTCATCGAGGAAGATACGTTCAATCCACTTGTACTTCTGGTCCGGGAGTATAGGAGGCGGCGTTGACGGGAGTACCTACAACAGGGATATGACCCCACATATCTGCTTCAGACACCTACTGGCTTGATACTCCCAGTAGCAACACTGGCCTCATTGTCAGCCGCTGACGCCTAATACAAGTAGCCACTCGAAGACCCCATCCTCCAGGATGAGCCCTCACCTGATCCTGACCTCCACCTTCTTCTGACTTCACAGCACTGGCGTCAGCAAGAGCCTTTTCGAAGTGCTCCTTCCAGCTATTCGGCAGCCACTGCCCAGCGTTGTACAGTATGCGAACCATCTCCACTATCTCATCACTCCACTGCTTCCCCGCCGTCTCTGCACTAGCAATGGCTTGCTCCACATCCAGGTACCTGAGGAGATCCATTACCGAGTGCACGACCAAGCCCAGCCCTACGTTCGATTCAACTGGAACTGCTCTTGATAATGTCGATTCTTAGCCCACTCCTGCGCTCTTCTACCCCCTCGCTTCACGCATTCCAATAGCACAAACGCGCTGTGGTTACATTGACAGAACCTTAACGAACACCCATCGACCCAGCAAGCAGACAGGACCATCCCTACCGGCAGCGGGTAGTGCAGGTGTGACCTTGATGGGCTCCGTGACAGTTCCAACACACCTGAATAGCAACATCGATACCACAGAAAGAAAAACAACACAAAGATCGAGATAATGAGAAGTATGATCCCACAAAAGACTGACCTTGCGTCTAATCCCACAGTCAGCTGGTTTATGGGTAATATCATCACAGTTGAGGCAGAGTGCCCCCTGTATAAAGGCATCCCTCATCTGCTGGCGGGATAACCTCAATGGTCTGATAAGCTCTGTCGGGACCTACCAATACATCCCTCCAATTGCCTTACTACTGCTATTACCTCCGGATCGCTCTCCCCATAGTCATCCTGGCTCTCATGATCATCATAATCCGAGACCAGCTCCTGCAGCTGAGGCTGTAGAGGCCCCAATGGCAGTGACAGCATATATCTCGGTATACGCACTGAAGAGACGTCAGTGGCCCAAATAACAGCAATCACGCCGCACACTATAGCGACACATGCTATAAGCGTCTACATCAATTTACAGATAACCCGGCCTTAGTACCCGATCCAGCCTCGTCTCCCAACAGTCGAGATATCTGTTTGATGCCCTCCCGATACCTGATGACCGACTGCATGATCACAGACAGGACACCTTGTATAGTACATAGCTCTCCTCCTCAGTCCACCAATGAAGTGCACCTTATCGTAGTCAATGATAACAGCACCTCCATGACGCAACCATCTCGGCCAAGCCGCACACGCTGCTCGAAGCTGGAAAGATCCGACCACTTACCAGAAAAGGAGCCGGAAGGATACTACTACCTTATCTACAATGTCACTCCGCCTGCTACCCTTAGGCAAGAACCATACATGATTCTGCTGTCGATTGAGACTACACTCAGGGTACCTAACAAGCATAAATGCCTCAGCCGCGGATCGAACCTGCGCACGTACTCGTCAATGATAAGCGTCCGGTAGTCTCCAGCGAATACAGTGAGCTTTGGGCTCACCAATGCGACATTACAAGAGAGCAGTGGTTGAGTCGGCTGCTCTCTCTTGGCCGTCAATGGTGGCTGGACAACCTATTATAAAGAACATTATACCAAGCTCTAACCAGGGATCGAACCCGGGACCTCTGCCCTATCCCCCTACCGGTCCATCCTCTGGCCCTCCCTTCTGCAGTACACTCTGAGCCAGCTCATCAGCAGCCACTTGATACTGTTGTCGTATATGATGTATCCACTGCAGCAAATCCTGCATGCTTAGCCAAAGTCGCTGGGGTCGGTACCCAGCCGCAGAGGGCTCTGGTGGGGACACTGAGTTCATCTGAAAAAATATGACTCAAACTTCACTGCATCATCACCAGAGCAAACTCACCGAGAGCGTACAGCTGAGACGAGGAGTCTCGGCGACCCAGAAGGAGTCCCATTGAACACTCTCAGGCTCCTGCTGCGTGATACGGTACCGTAGTTGCGATGGATAGTTGTTTATACCCAGCTCATGAACTGAATGATATCAATATAGTAGCCAACATGTTGGATAGCAGTAGTTGACGACCTACCCTTCTGATCGAGTAAGTCCCTCATGATCACTTCATTCGATATCATGCCACCTCGGCCGCGAATCTATACGAATGAAGTTGCAGAGCCCAGGGATCGAACCTGCGACCTCTTACCAGCATCTCAACCGTCGTCCATTGTTCCTCCCCTGACAACCTATCCATAGTAAGCATAGACGCATCCTCGCCGCTCAGCCTCATTGGCGGCTGTGACACTAGATGTGAATCCATATTACTGGACATTTCCATTTGTATCAAGCCCCACACCTAACACCACCTTATCTACTCATTCCGACCAACAGAGAGAGCTTACATGCATCGACAGGTCACTCTTCTCCACAGCCTCCTGGAACTTACTGTGCCACGTCAGATCCAGAGCACCAGGGTCCAACATGCGAGCTAAGATAAACAAAATGCGCGTGCCGGGATTCGAACCTGGGTCAGCGCTTACATATGATGTCCACTTTAACATGCAGAGGCACCCTGAATTTGTTACAAACAGCCTGTATCAACTCCAACTCCGAAGATGTTGATTTCGAGAACTTGTTCACTAACCGATGAATCTGATGAATGAATCTTGCAATCTTGCGCTTCCTCACTATTCCTCATCTTACATCCTTGACTTTCCCGCGATTATACGTCTTATATATCTCCTTAACGACATTGAACACTTGTGCTTGTCGTTGCGTGTTCTGTTTCTCTCGATAAGTCTCAACGACGGCAGCCTATTCCATGCAACCATAATGCACCCAGGATCGAACCGCGCACCCGACACTACCAGTCTATCCTCGTCAATAGTGACCCCATACTTATCACATATGGCCAAGTACACATACAGCTCCCTCGACCTATACTGCGTGAATACCGTGTGCTCGATGGATCCTGATGGATTCCATCATGACGAATAAAGCCATCGGAAAGGCCTACTGAGCAAGTCCGGGTTATACACAGCCAACTCCTCCCTTATCAATTCCATTATACCATATTCTGGGCTGCTCGGCGGATAATACATACCTGGACAACAGTCGTAGTTCTGGCCACTAGAGACACACTATAACAAGTCCACAGTCCAACAGGTACTGGAGGATTCCCGATTTAACAACAGAAGTAGAAGTAGGGGAATTGCGTGTGAGTACTCCCCTAGTAGTACCAGGCTTGTATCCTCGACCTTCATCATATTTCTGTCGAATGGCTGCCACCACCTGCATCTCCTGATTGGCGTTCTTAGCCATAATGTCTTCTATTTCGTCCAACTTGGCCGGGTTGTAGGTCGCATAAAGTGACCGAGCCTGATGGGAAGGTTCATAACCAACCGCTCACAGTCCTAGACTCTTCATCCAACCTTATTTTAAAATGGCCACCGTTCCCAGTGTGGTAAAATACGCACACGGTCAACTACATATCTTGACGACAATATGGAAGTGGGGGAAATTTCCGAGGAATTCTTTTATCGGTTTTTGAATATTCCTTTCCGAATTCGTATATAACCTCCTATTATTAGTGAGGAAACCGAACACATATTCTAACACTGCCCGTTACCCTGCATCATTGTACGACCTTCACCAACCTCAGAGCCCGCAGCCGATGCGCGAGAGCCCCCTCTTCCCAGTCCGACTCGAACCCTAGTCTTACACTAGCCAAAGAGTAAGCAGCAAAGTCCTCCATAGTCCTATAGTTCTTGATGTTGGACTGTATCGCGAACTCCGCGCCTAACTCGATGTGTCACCACCCAACCTCCCACCCCTCTACCATTATTACAGTCCACACCATACTTTTTGCATATGCTCTCATACAACGCCTTAAGTGTTGCCGAGTACTTCGCTATCAAGCCCGGCATCTGGTCAACCACACGAGGCCATTCTAATCCACTGCCAACCTCCACTGTTACCTCCGATAACTTGCTAGGGTTCTTAGCAGCATAGACCAGATGGATGAGTGTACAGATATCCCCCTCATCCGTATCCTCAGTCTCGCCAAACCTGAGCATAACCATGGCACTAGAGAGGCTCATTCCACCGGCTTACATCTCGTTCTGTGCCTTCGTGAACTCGGCCACTATTGGGTCCTCGACAGTCTCGATGGGCTCCTCCATCTCAACTGAAATATTTAACTGCTGTCTAGCGGAGCGATGCAAAAAATAACTTCTCCACTACGATTATTACCATCATCAGACCCCTTCAACAAGGCATCGACATCAACATCAGCTACACTGCCAGTCTCACTAAAGTCCTCCATTTTAGTAGCACCTTCGTCCTTTAGAGTCGACATCCAGGAGCATATTGCCCGCAGTGTTGACACGTTCATGAGGTTATAAGAAGGCGACCCAGTAGCATGAACATGATGATGCCTATTGAACCAGTCCTGGAGCATCTTGGACGTTGTTGCCGGTTGTAGTCTCAGCTGACGAGCCAATCTCAATAGACACTCCTTTAGGTCCGACAGTGTGGCCTCGTCCAGTCCTTGCAGATTGGCAGCCATACTCCACATAAGGTCCACTACAGCTTGCTCATATTGGAGATCACTCATCACTGAGGACTCCACATCCGTGCCATAGAGATACTCTATGAACAGCTTATTAAGCTTAGTCTCAGGTAGATACCGAACGCCGGCCGTATTCGCTACTCTCAATACTGCATTCTGTTTCAAGTCATCCACCATACCTGAGCATGACCAACACATGGCCTCGGCACATGACTACTACTACTACTACTACTACTACTACTACTACCGAATAAGCCTCCGCGGAACCTGGCCACAGGTATAGGTCTAGGAGCTGCTGGAGCCTTGTTGGTGCCGCCCATAGTAGTATCCGAAGGGCTTGCTAGATATCCCTACCAACACACATCAAAAGGACTACACAGTTGAGAACAGGTCAACGACTGGATGTTCGGTGATCTTGATCCGACAGCACAGACCCAGGTGAGACCCATGGTACCGCTATTACCTTCATTTTCTCGTCCTCATTGAGCTTTCCAGTTTGATAGTCCCCCGCAGCACCATTGAGTGGTTCTTCTTTAAGATCGTCATCATCACTAGACTCGCTATGCGACGTATAGTCATCTCCAGATGCTGAAGGATGAGATCCAACCCCGACATGGTATTCGTTTCCTCACAGCTCGATCGACTTGGACTCCGTTTCCGATACACTTTCCGTACCACACCTGCCGGACTCGCTACCGACTCGGTCAGCTTCCTGCCTCTGAAGCGCTCCTTCTTCTGCCGAAGTGTCTGGGCATGCTGATGCTTATAGCCATCATTAAGCTGATACCATACCTCTTTCACATCATTGAGCCCGGATCCAATGTTGCCCGATGGCTCCCACGTGAGCTCTCGAGAATTCTTCCACTTGACTAAGAACCTACCGAAGCATGCCTCCACTGCATCACAATACCATCTCAGTACTCTTCCTTCCTCCCGGATATCTTCCGCACGTCCAACAGAGCCTGCACTTCGTAATACTCTGGTGAGGCCATGACTACTACCAAATGGAGGAGGCAGAGGACGAATTGAAGAGGACGTCGAGGGACGAAGAAAAACTAACTTATCCAATACCACCAGTGGCATCCAATTACCCCCGTATTAAACACTGTGAAGCCAACAGAAGCAGTGCTAGAATTGGTACTCATCTCAAGAGGCACCATGATGCATCTTAGTGATCCATCTTGAAAATTGTTCCCGGAATAATCGATTATCATGGCGTACGCGTCGGCAACTTGGCCAGGGTTACTGGCAGGCGAGGATGCTCAGAGAGTCTACGTTGGGCCTAAGATACGTGCGAAACTCTGCCCGATCGCTGTCCAGTGCCTCAACCTAACCCTGCAGTCCTGCTATTGTTGCCATTGATGGCATCCAGCCTCTTGAGTCGTACCCTCTCACGCCGCATAATCCCATCCGGCTTGGGCAAGCCGGTGGCAATAATGACCACCACCCGATACTTTTCAATGCTCACAGTGGACAAGTTCACCAGGGCTGAGGCTCTCCAGAGGGCTTCCAATCTCTACTATCAGGTCGGAATATCGTCATTCACAGTCGCCGATCTCAGCTAAGGTACTCGGCACGAATTGGGAGGACGGCCTCAATCTCGTCCTAGATGTCCCTTTCTGGGAATCTGAGCTGGAGAAGGTAAGATTCCGTCGAGGCCATCGGGCACCCCGACTGCAGGTGGATCACATGTGCGAGCCGTATTTATGTGACGACGAAATTGGACCTATCATTCGCAACCTTCACGAGACTGTCAACTGCATGTACGCCTGTGAGGACGTCAGAGATCACATCAATGAGCTTTTGGAGTTGTCAAGTCGTGCAGAAGGTAAAATGCCGGGTGCCGGGATAGAACCAGGGTTCGGAACTAGGCGTGATGGGCTCCGGTGCTGCTGCTTCGGAAGAGGTTGAAAACATGCCAGAGCAGTGTGGTATGGTTACTAAGGCTTACGAAGACCTTCTCGCGAGGTAAATCTATACGAGTGCCAGTTCGCATTCAAGAGTATTCCCAAGATACCCAGAACACCATCCGAAGATCGAGCAGACGGTGGGGCACGGTCTCGCTGTACTGCGCCAGCTCGAGAAGTTCAATTTCAAGAGCAGCCATCGGTATTTCTTCTGAGTCTTCTTCAGCAGGATAATTTTGTGGCGCGGTGAAGCTTGTATGTAATACATCTTTGGATCGGTTGTGACCTAGGTAAAGAGATAGACATGACGAGACTGATTTTCTGGGGAGTTCATGTCGAGTTATTGGACTATTTCCATCTGATTTACCCTGCGGCTACTATTTTTACCTAACAATGGCTCCTCGACAATCGAGAAAGCATTCAGGAGAAATCACAGTAGGCCTAGCAGATCTAGGCCGTACTTTCCCCCATCTTTGCCCAACACCATTGCCATCGCAGGTAATACTTGCTGAGTTGTCGCATACCGTAATTTCGTCACTTCAGAGCTTAGCATCCCGGATGGCGTCTGCACGGTCCACACTACCAGCAGCAACATTGCAGGGAGAGAAGCCTGAGAAGCAGACAGCCTCGAAGTTTGTGCCTCGTGAGGATGTCCGCATTCTGCCTCCTTCTCCGAGAGGTCGGGGGCAGGATTCCATGGATTCACCTGGGTTAGCCCCACACATGTCGGGTGAGACTCTGGTAGAATTATGGGACGCCCCTATTGAGGAGACCTTGCCGGATTCAAAATTGGCGAAGGAGATCATAGCCTCTCGAACAAGTCCTGTGTTCAGTCCGAAAATGGGACAAGTAAGCGGTTACTACCAACATATATCCAAACTCATGCTTTAGGTACGAATACTAGCACGACCACACTCATCCACTGAGAGCACCACACAGTCCCCTCCAATGTCAGCCTCCGAGGCCAGGTCGCCTATAGCTGGATTATCAGCGGAAGAAGTCCAGTCCACTGCGGCTAATGACAACTCGCATGCAGTTGATCACGACCCTGCTGAGGTGGTTTCAACAACGCATGTATCTTATGGCGGATCGAAGGTTACAGCAGTTCGGAGGTTGCCTGTGACGAGGCTCACCAGTGATAGGGATCGGCCACCAGAAGAACAGAAGATATCCGAAGTTGAGAGTGAGCACTTGTAGTCATGCATTCTCACATGGTAGATTTTATAAGATACGAAGGAGTCGATTTCGACTAAATCCCGACGTAGTCGGAAAGGAAAGGGTAGAGGCGGCAGTGGTCAGCAACGCTACAAGCAGTGGAATAACAACTCTTATTACTATTACTACTGAACTAATTTGGCTGCTGTGTTGGAGCATTACAAGCAATCAGCATTTACAACTAACCCTACTACAACAATTCATCGCATCCTGTCACACTTGCTTAATCGCTTTCTTACGATCGTTACAATCGCCGTATCATTTGACTTGTGCATAGCAGCATTTGTGTTAGCAGTTATGTGATATATTTCCACCCTGTTGTCAAATATATCGACCCTTCAATAGTATTCCACGAAGTCTTAGTGTTGCGTGTCTGCATATGTGCCAAAGAACGGAAAACGCGGCAGGTTTCGATCTTTGTAGGAAAGTCACACACGTAAAAATCCCTCTTGTTAACTCGAAGTAATCCCCGCATTGAAACACAGATTCAATTGCTACTCATGATATAATCAACATCATCCACTATAAAGTTGTCAGGTGGCTGTATATCATCACTATACGTCCCTTTCTATATACTATACTATTTTCATATAGTACTATGTGTCCCCCAACGCCCTAAAGTCTTTCTTTAACTCAATACCGTCTTTCTCGCAGCACCAGATAAACTAAGTCCCAAGTTTTGGCCAATCGTTATAATGTAATTATCCACTGTTGCAACGGCAGAGCTGTTGATACACAAGACCTCGGATGAGTATATCATAATCATCCGCTTGAACGGTAAAGATAGATCATCAATGCTATAACCATGGATAGGAGTCAACAGATACGGACGCAGCAGATTCAAACTACACCAATACCACCAGCAGATTTGAAATGAATCTAAATGCTTAGAGCTTATCCATGTAGTTGGAGAGATCGGGCATCTCAACCTTGATGTTCTTGCGCTTACGGATGTTGAGAACGAGCTCCTGAGCCTTGGAACCCTCCTGCATCGGATCACCGGGAAGAGCCTCCCAATGATCGAACACGCACTGAGGGAAGGCCTGACCAGAGGTAGCCTGACGGAGAGCACCAGTGAATCCGAACGACTCAGCAACGGGCAAGTAGGCTTGAGCTGAAGCAGAGGAGTACCCTCCTTCTGGTTCTCCCTCGACACGCAACCACGACGCATGGTGAGCACGTTGTAGATACCAGACATGGCCTCAGTAGGAGC